CGACTCTAAGGTTCGCGTCAATCGTTCTTGGCTACCAATCGCGTATAAAACATTTGTTCGTACGCGGTGCGGAAGCGCGGACAACTGGAAGCAGTGGATTCCAGCGCGGAGGAAACGGTGACAACAGAGAACGAATCGTGCGCGTGGCATTAAAATCGGGCGGCGAAAAAAGAAAACGGGAAGAGATGAAAGTCGTCGGAATAAATTGGAGGCAGTAAAATTAAGCGCGTCGTTCTTATTTTTGTTTATCGTTCTATTTACCGTCCGGCTGAATTCACCCCCGCTGTCTCGCCTGATGTACGAGACGCCGGACACGTTCACGGCCGGTGATGCATCGTGCACGCGCGAAAACCGTCGCTTTAACGGCCGCCGCGTGGCTCCCGACCAACGAATCAGCCGACTTTATTTCGATTTCTCTTTTTTTTTTTCGTTTTACTTACTAACCAACGGGAACAAACGCGGGCCGAGCCGGGCGCCGCATTTTTCGATCGAACCGATCGAACCGATCGAGAGCGATCGCTCCTCATTGTCCGTCGAACGTTCGAAAGAGGAGCGACGATAAAATAATTCGTACGAATATGATTAGACGGGCTCGTTTCGTTTTTACGCGACAGACGATCCGGGTTTCACGATTCCAAGACTGCCGTCGTCGTGCCGACGAGGGAGAAACGAAAGGTTTAAAATTCTCGCGGTGTCGAAAATTTCTATCGTTCGCGTTGGAGAACGGACGAGAAAGAGCGGAGGGTTGAACGAATTTTCGTGGGCCACTTCCGGGCCATGGAAACGCGATCGACTTCTCTGGTCGGAGGCAAGAAACGGAACGACGATGAATCAGAAGCTTTGGGACGGTGGAAAAGCTTCTTTTCGTAGCTGATAATTCGAATTTATTGCACGTCCCGAACGACTCCGTCGACGCCGCGGCCAATGAGTCTCGCCCTTTTTTCGGCGCGCGTGCCACGCGAGAGATAACGAACGTTTTAACGATTCGTCGGCCGATGCGCCGATACGCCGCGCCGACGGTTCGTTGGATAAGGCGAACGTTTATAAAACGAAAACGTGTTCACGATCGAATCGACGGCTCCTGAGTCTCGCGGAGAAATATCAGAGCCGTGGATACAAATATCGAATCGTCGGTAGTAAAGCGACGCTGATGGAACGAGGAAAATAAATTTTCCATAATTGAATTGCAATTACTTACATGCGCAGATTCGATGAAAATCATTTATTCGCATAATTCCGACTGCGTCCGCCGAATTAGCTTTCCACAACGCGACGTAATCCAATTAAGCTCCATCGCACGTTAATTCGATCTGCCTCAGTTTTATCATTAGACCGCTGCGCGCCAAGCAACGCGTTCGTCGACCTTTCCAAGTCCGTTCGTGCCGAAGGACGACTCGAATTTGCCTGACGTGAACAACAGTCGGGGCCAGCGGAAAAATGCTGTTGGACCAGAAATAGAAATCCCTTGCCGAGAAACCAACACCGGGAGAGAGGCACGAATTCCCCGGGGAGGAAAAAATGGTGGAACGGTTCGGAAACGGCCGCAAACATTCGACATTATCCGAAATCGAGGGGCCAGATGGTGTGACAAATAGCCGGGAGCCACGACGAAGAAGGCGAGAGGGATCCATGCTCGAAATGAAACCCTGATAAATATTGACCTCGATGCGATCGTAGACAGAGATTTTTTTTTTCCCGAACGCGTCGAACGAGCAGGGGGATTCGAGCGAACTCATAAAGATGCACCTGGTGTCGGTGGGTCGCGTGTACGCGTGGACAGTATCTCTTTTGAATATCGGTGTTCACGGACGCGGTGTATCGGGCGTTAGGTAACGCGGGAAACGGTCGTGTTTTTCGCGATGCGTTTCGAGCGTCGCCAGTGGGTTATCCTAGCCCGAATGAAAATCGATGACCGTTCGACCGACTGACGTGTTCCTTCTGCTTTTTGAACCTTTTCACTCGTTTTTCACTCGCTTTCTCGCACCGGTGAACCGACGGAAACGACCGTTCCGCCAACGAAACGTACGTCTGCTGCGCGAATAAAAATATCGTTCGACGAGCCTCCGTGACGCGTGAATCACGAAGACGTCGCGCGATAATATCTGTTCTGCGTCGCGCTGCGAACGACGTTCGTTCGATCCGCTTCCCTCGGCTCCTCTTATTGAAAAACTTTGTACGTCTTCAGTAGTCGGCCGCCGGGTGAATTTCAATTTTTTATTCCGAGGATAAACGTTAAAATTCAGTCCTCGTGGTGTCCACACGTTCCCCCGTTCTTGTTATTGCGCCCAGAACTTTACACATATTTCCATGATCATCGATTTTACGCGGCCGGAATCCCGTTCTAGGAGCGAGTAAGATTCAGCGTGCAATCAGAGAAACGGATCGGCAAAAGAGAGAAGCTCGTAACGATCGATGCCTGGACTCGCGTCTGCCGAAAAAAAAAGGCAAAAGGCAAGACGACGGGAGCTTAGGATGCGATTCGAAGATCGAATTTCACGTTTCTCTTTGCCCTCGTTCGACCTCGAGGGAGGTCTCCAGGAGGCCGAAGACGCCACGTGCGTCGCGATCCTCGGCGGCGGCGTCTCCCGCGCGTCCAGACGTAACAACCGATCAGGCTAATGGATTACCGTACCGACTAGCCGTTCGCCCATTTAGATATTGCTCCGAGACAAGGAGTCGAAGACGGAGCCGAGCTAATTAATAGACTCGACGGATTTGTGTTCGTCAAACGTTCGCGGTTATTCGAGAGATGCTTTCGTGGACGGCACGCGACGATTAAAAACCGTGAGTGAGAGGGAATGCGTGAATGGTGGCCGGGAAGTTGCTCAAAACTACGTTCTCTGTGAGATGGACGCGACTTTCTCGTGGAAATCTTGCCTGCTGGTTCGCGGCCGGAATGCCTACGCTCTGTTGAAATTTAATGTTTAAAAGCTAGCTGTTCCGGATCTTCAGTCCCGGACGTTTCGTCTGAAATATTAAGACCTCGACGTGACTCGCGCGAATTCGATGCCTGCCGACCAATTGTACGCACTCGCGTAAACACCGACGATAATTACGTGCGAAAATTTAAAGGACGCAGTGGAACCGTGCGGGTTCGTGTTAATTTCAAACTGGAACTGCGGGGATTCTCGAAAACGTCTTGAAACAATTAAGAGGGACGCGACGGCCGCGGTTAGAAATGCAATTGTACGAGCGTATTCCGTTTCAACCGGCGTCAAATTTACATCAAAGAGCGAGCGAGCCAATTTAAACGACTGGGCAGCTGCACAATGGGATTGAAAATTCACGAGCACGAGACTACTCTGCCCGTTTGTTCGTCTCCCGGGTTTGTCAACGCTCCAAGGAGCCCGTGATTTTAAAAAGAACCGACAGACCAAATTTCCTACCACTACTCGCGTTCTCCGTTTCGTAGATTAAAACAGTTTCGAGAGACGGTGGATTCGATGGTTCGCGGAAAAGTCCGTATGACCTCGTCCCGCGTTCAAGTATAAGAAAATTGATAAAGGACTCGTCGTCTATAATTCCGATCGGCACGGTCGGCACGGTCGGCCGGGCTTTAATTTCGGACAGGGACGGGGTCGGAATTCTTGATCACACACACACAAGCCTGAGCCACCGAAAATCCCTTTTACGCTCGTCTCCTACGCGAGCCCCTTCGATCGTTAGACATTAGCTTCGCGCAGCTCTCGGCCAAATTTTAATGAGAAAACTTAACGAGAGCTACCCGTGTCGGAACACGCGTTTCCCCCTGATTATGCATCCGGTAAACGAGTCTAAACTGCGCGATCAACGATCATCCCCCGCGCGTCGGTCACTGATTCCGATTCTCCACCAACTTGAACCTTCCGTCGCTCGAACACGTTCACCGGGGATTGGATCTTCTACGACGCGTGTTCGAGGGTTCGCAACTTTCGTTTCGCGGCGAACGTGGTGAGCAGCTAAAAGTGAAAACCCGGGGGTGGTAAAGAGGAGCCCGCGTTACTAACCCTGGCGTGTTTCCGCGAAACAATGGCTGTATCGGCCCGAGGGGAGGACTGCGCGGGAGGCGAGGGTGTTTTACGGGCACAAAGCCCCGTTGAATCAGGTTTTCGCGCAACGGTCTGTTCGTCCGCAGGAACGCTCCTCGAGCGAAGAAGAACGAAGCGAGAGAGAGAGAGAGAGAGTCGCTTAATCCTCTGGTTTAAATGCTCGTCGGCCAGGTGAGAGCGGGACGAGGAACCGAAATCGAATCGGCCAGCAGCGTTCGCTTCTAAATGGCGACCCGCGTCGGCCACCGATAATTGACTTTTCCGCGAGACAAAACGAAATCCCCGGCCGATCGACAGCGTCGACCGATTTCTTTTCGCTGTGTCGCGCGCCCCGGAAGACGGGTTCGAGACGCGAAAAGCTCGCGGTACCAACGACAAACAGCGGAAAGGTTCGCGCGCGACGTTACACCGCGACCATTGTAAATTTACTCGATTAACCGTTCATTTCCATAGAGGAATCACCGTATGCAGACTGATTTTTCCTGTAATTACTTATTGTTTCGGAATTCGCGAGTTAATTAAAATACGCGAGAGCCGGGCAGATTAATTATTGGAACAACTCAATCCGGCTGTGTATGCGTGATTCAATGAAACGACCGTTCCAATATTTATTCCGATACCTCGGAAATTTACATTCCACCAGGAATCATGATATTTCAAAAAACCTGACGAGCGTTCCATCGAACGTTACGCGCGAGCTCAATAATCTGTTTAATCGTACGCTCGCGATCCCGTGACGTACACGCGCGCGCGGGGCTTCCAGATAATAAATATCCGCAGTCCGGCAACGATTCCAGCGATCAATTTCTAAGCGCCGCCGCATCTCCAGTTCTACTAGACGTAATTGCCCGTCTTTTATCACTTGCGCTCTTTTAAAAGAACGTCTCTCACCATTTTCCCTATGACCCGTTTTTCTCACCGTTCCACAATCGCACAGTTTCCCCTCGCGTACACCCCCGACGCGGTCCTCACCTTTTCTTTTGAACCCTCGTCCCACCGGGGGTGAAGTGGCTGCCAAGTCGTCGTCGTCGTCGTCGTTCGTCCAACAGGCAATCGTCGGGACCACGTCGCGCCCGTGTCGCCCTTGATTCCCCTTCTTAGGTGCACTCTCTCTCTCTTTCTCTCTCCGTGCCCGGAAGGTGTCCGTGAATTTCGTCGAGAGCGAAATAAAGGCACTCTCGTTAAAACGAACCTCCGAAACGGAATTCAAATAGACCGTCTCCGTTTCCGGCACCTTTCCTTTGACCCGGTGCTTCTGCCCTCCGTTTCCGTCTTTCGTAAGAACGATCGCCGTCGATCTGTCAATTACTGCGCATAGAGCGCACCGTCGATTCTCGATTCGAACGATTAAAACGTAAACCGGCTGCTGTGGAATCTCGCACGAATCGAACGGGATCGTAATAGGAGGAAAGGTGAAACAGCGAGGGTCGCGTAAAACACGCGAAGGGGTCGAAATAAAACGGGGGTGAGCGAGGAGGACGAGGGAGCAAAGTGGCAGAGTTCAGTGGCTCGTTTCCGCCCGTATCACTGGGTTTAACATAAAAGAAAACTGCCCGCGTCGAACGAGCGGTGTGTCTCGCTCGCGGTAATTTCGAAACGACGACGTCCCACGGCGAAAAGGGTTCCACCGAGCAAACACCTACGACCTTTGCTCCTCGAGTTCGTTTCAACTCGACTCTTAACGACGCCCATGAAAGTGAAAACCGAAGGGTGCCAGACCCGGCCTCTCTCGTTATTATCAACGAATTCGTGTTCACGACGCTCTTCGTTAATTAGGACGGCACGCGTCGATGATTCCACGCCCGCTACCAATTCACTGATTCAGTCTCGTTGCGACCTTTTCAGGTATCGTCGATTCGCGACACGAAAACTGTTTCTGACGCACGACCAAACGAAACGGCATCGTCGGACTATTTATCGCGAACATTAACCGAGCGATTGGAAAAAAACGATGGATCGACGTCGATCTTGGACGAAAGAACGGTGCGATAAATTTTTGAAAAAAAGAACGAACGAACGAACGAACGACGGGACGTCGTTCCATCGACGCGACGAACTATTGTCCTGATAAATCGCTCGCTGGAATCGTACACCTCGACGATCGTTACAATTTCGAGTCCCAGGGACGGTGACACGTTCGATCAACGTTTCATTGAATTAATAAACGTCGCTCGCATACACGGCGTACCTACTGTTCCAGTTACTCCCCGGAAATAAACCGTTGCCACTCTCCTCCTTTTTTTTTCCAACCATGGCCACTGGGAAGCGGTAGACGCGATCATTGTTCCCCGTTAAAAATCGACACAGTAGGAACCACCGCCCGGTCCGATTCGTTTTTTATAGCATCGATCGTCGTACGATTTGGGAAGATCGCGGAAGCCGCTTTGAGAATTCCAAGTAGGGAATCCGGGTTTAATAACCAGCGAAAGGAATAGGAATCCGGATTAAACCGAGCTTAAACGCGTTATCAGGATCGACGCTACGGTGCGAGTTTGCTCTTCCAACCGGCCGTGTTTACGATTATGAGGAACGAAGCCAGGAATTTTCTGCGTTTCTCACGACGTTCGAAACTCTGGCCTAGACGGAGGGTGCCGCGTCTCGGCCATATGGCTTTGAACCGGAAGCGACCGTAAAGAAAGAAACGAACTTCTCGAGTCGTTCGAGCGGGTATGACTTGCCCGTGGTAATTATTTCACGACGAACGTCGCGACGCAAAACTATAATTTCGAATCGCGTTCACGTCGAAGGTCTCTACGAGCGTGTCTACCGATTTTCGATGCGTTCCTACGCGGCAGCGTAGACGTCTTCGGACGTGATTGTAAAAGTTGAGACGATGTTTAGCGAGGGATATTGGAAGAACGCTTGAGTGTATAGGTCGAGTGTCTCGGTGACGAACAGCGGCCTGGCATAATGCATACAGAAGAATAATCTAAGGCAAGCAACTGTTGGTCGTAGCGGCGCGGTCTCCGCGGAGCAATAGTCTCGGAAGACCAAGTTACAGGGACAAAGATAAATGCAGGAATGATAGATAGACCCGATCCCATCTCGGAATTCATGCGCCCCGCTCGTGAAACCCTTCGGGAAATTTCTTCCGGAGTAACGATATTAAAAATAACAAAGAAACGGATCTAATTCAAATCGCCTGGGCAAATGAAACTTGCATCCGTTCGCGTAATTCTTCAAACAGCCACGGAAACTCTCCTGGTCGCGAGATTCGTTCGTTCGTTCGAGATTCTTTTCGACGAATTTGACGATGCGACAGCTAAACCGAACACAACGCGACGACAACGAATCGGACGAGTAGTCTCTGTGAGACCTCGGAGATAAATCTCCAGGGAGAGCAAAGGGCGTAGTACGACGTCCCGTTTTCAGAATCTCGCGGTCCACGTTACGTCGTAGGAACGTTATCGTCGGCCCGTACGCCTCGTTCATTGTATTAAGGCGTACCACGGTTTTTACGTCGATCCTCCGGGAATTTATGAGTCGTAAATTTCGTTAGATACCGCTCGAATCTTTACACATGGGAGGGCCTTCAGGATTTTTACCCCTCGATCCAGCGTCATACGGATTAATGATAACGCGCGATACTCCTAGCGAAACGACACGTTTTTTTACCACCTGCGACGGCGAGAGTTCCCCGATGCCGATCGGAACCGCTGTCCTACCAGCGGCTAACGACCCCGTCGTCTCGGCGTTCGCGAATTCTCGCCTCTGTCCAATTAAGGGCAATCAAATTTCTCGATTACTACTCGATCGCTCGAATTTCTCGCCGCGTCCTATTTTCTACGGTCAAAGATTAACAAACGTCTCTGACACTCTTCTTACTCGACGATCCTAATACATATTCCGACCCTTCTATTTTTCCGCTCCCACCGTTTGCTCTGGAAACATCCCTTCCCGGCACATGCTCGGTTCTCTTCGCGATTCGTGTTTGCGTTACGATTGTTTTTTCAAGTTACGAAACTGGGGAACGAAAGCTCGCTTCCCTCTCGCGCGCTACACGAATTACTCACAGAAATATCCTATCGAAATTCGCGTCAGAAAGGAACAGCCGTTCGCGCAATGACCAAAAGACGCGTCGGTCCTCGTGAAAAAGGACTGTTTTCAATTCTCTCATTCGGAGGAGGAGGAACTCCAAGTGTGACTTAAATAAACGGCAGACTGACAGCCGGCGTCGCAATTGCGTCGCGTCATACGAGAGATACGACATACGACGCGTCCCACGCCGTTTCCCCTCCGATTACAACGTCCGACAGGGGAACGCGTTCTCTTCCCCGCTCTCGTTCGATTTTTCCTTTTACGCCGATACGCGTAGCCCCGCACCGTCTTAAAACGTGGACCTTGAACCCCGTGGGCGACCCACGTATTTTCGACGTCCCCCCTTCTCCGACTCCCCAAACACGTTTCCATTTTCACCGACCGACCGATCGATCGATCTCTACGTGCGATTTTTCGGACGAAGATCGCGGGACGAAAGTGATACACGAGGGAAAAGCTGGAGTTTTACTGTAACGCGGTTACGGAGTTTCGAACCGTAAGTTACTGGCTGAAATCAAAGTTTCACCGGGTAATCCGGTGCAACGGTAGGAAATAATTCCAAACTTTTGATGAAATACAGTCGAAACCGGGCGAATATCAGATTTCTTTGTCTCGGAATTGATTCCAGCTTTATGAATTCTTCGAATTCGGACCGTACTCTACTTTCAAAGATTCCCAGCTCAGAACTCCCGACCCGAGACCGCTTCTTCGAAACACCCGCTGCTTTACGAAACCATTTTTACGAGCGTTCCAACGATTACCGCGAACTGCGTCACGACCGTCCCTTTGAATATCCACGATACGAATTTTATACACCGACGACGATTCGGTTTAAATCTTATCTCTGCGGAGTTCGTATCGCTCGTATTTATATAGAGAACGCACGCCGCCGGATCTTCGTGGGGGGAAGGGGGCCGGGATCGACAAACGGAACGGAAAACAACGTGTCTGACACACTAGAGTCGGCGATCGTGACTCGGTGCCCTCGTTTGAATCTTTCTTACGATTAAACGCGACTGCTACGTCCGCATTTAGGTTAAAAGAACACCGGAACTCTCGTCGCGTACGTATTACGACGCAACGAGTCGATTGAACCGCGTGAACACAGTGACTAGCGTCGACGCGACACAGAGGTTATCTCGGCGGCGTTCCACGTTCGATCAAAATTGAAACGTACGACGAAAGTTTAACGAACCGAGGACGTAAAAATAGCGTGCCACGATACCTGAGACGATGCTGACTCACTGGTGAGATGCTCCTGTCACGTTGGCACAAAGTCATCCACGTTTCGATCGGCAAAGTCCAGCGTCGGTCCAACGACGAAACGAACGAAAACCACGAGACGAAACGGTTCACCTCCGATGCTGGAAGACCACTGAACGTGCACTTTGAACAGCGACACTGAAACACGCGGAAGAAGAACTGAACACGACTAGACTCGACGAACGATCCACACCGCACGAGATCCGACAGCGGACTGACCTCACGCGGATGCTGGGTGAGCGCGTTGCCAGGTTGCCACGCGTTCCCTGCCGCACGTCCGCGCACGACCCCCACCACCACCACCACCACCACCGCCACGACGTTCGTCGGTGTTCCTCCTACGCGCTCTTAAAGCTCTTCGTACGACCGGCTTCTATCGTTTTTGGCTTCTTTACACGCGTGAATCTCACGAATCTCATCCTGAAACCAAGAATAAGCATCGTCTACGTTAAATTCACGGTCCGAGTCGACTTTGCTCGCCCCCTCCGGCCGTTCGGGGTGTGGAAACTCGTCTATTTCCATGTAAAAAATTCTACTCGATAAAAGCTGGGTACAGTTTACCGAACGGGGGAGGAGAGGGCTTTAAAGAAAGTTGGTAACAAAAACCGTTTAAAGAAACCACGGTTCGTCTCGCGAAACTTACTTATCGTTCGAGAAGCTCGAACGCGTCCGACGATCGACGATACCGAGAGACGCGTCAGATTTAAAAGATCGCTCGATCAACCACGAGACTCTGGCCGGACTGTTCACTGTCGAAAATTCACCCTCGCACGTAGAACGGGTTCGCGCATTTACCCAGAAGAGAGCAAAGGTGTTAAAAGGAGAGAGGAAAAAAGAGAACGAAAAAAGGGTGTTACGAGCGCGGCTGCATCGAAGCTCGGAAGAATTTTTGATGGCCGCAGAGGGGAGGACTTTATGCTGATGCAACGACGGGGAATCTCGACGCGAGTGTGCAAATGCTTGGTAATAGAAGGGACAGGAATAGAGCTGGTCGGAGAACGGCGCTG